GGAACTTGAGTCTCTGTGAGAGGATGAAATTCTTGGTTCAAAAATAACGGAATATCCGATATGACATCGGACTACCCGATCGATCGGATTGTCCGAAATTCTCCAGAATTTCATTCTCTATCTCTGGCCTGCTTGGGAGTCAAAAACATCGGACTATCCGATGTCACCTCGGACTTTCCGAGGTGGGATGAAAAGATTCTCTCCCAACGGCCACATTTTGGGGGCTTCTATAAATACCCCCCACCTAACCCTTTTCTAGGGTTACCCAACTCATTCATTCACATTCACTTTGGGTTGAGCTTGGTGCTAAAGTGCTTTGGATCTTTGAGCTCTCTCTCCCTCTCTCAAATCCCTCTTTGTTCTTTGTGTAGTGGATCTTGGTGGTTGTGGATTTGGTGTTTGAGGGCCTAGTGTGTGTTTCACTCGATCTTGAGCACTAGGGTTTGACCAAGAGTTGTGTGGTGTTTGTTACTCTTGGAGGTTGAGGACTCCTAGACGGCTAGGTGTCACTCCCGAGCCACCGATCTACGTGTGGTTGGCCGGGAGAAGTTTGTGAAGGCCGGATCTCGTCTCCACAAGGAAAGAGATACCCCTTAGTGGAAGGAGGAGTGCTTAGTGCCACCTCTTAAGGAAAGGGTTAGCAAAGACCCGGCTCTTAGTGAGCTCCTCAACGGAGAGTAGAATCCCCTCAAGGATTTGAACTCCGGGAACAACTCGGTGAACTTTATTGTTGGTGATATCTCTTCTCCTATTATTTAGCTTTGCTTTTGTGCCACTTTAGATCTAGTCGCTGTTTGCGCCATACTCTTGTTTGTGCACTAGATCTACTTGTAGTCTTCCTTTAGTGGATCAGACAGTCTGATCCAACATCAGACTATCTGATATTTTCGGATAGTCTGACTGTGGATCAGACTTTCCGACCCTAACTCAGTTTTAGCTTCCGCATAAAGTTTTAAATTAGCCTATTCACCCCCCTCTAGGCTTAATTGACCCTTTCACTTATTAAGATGTACAAGTGTGGCTATATGGTGGAAGGTGGTATGTGGTTAGCGTGAGCACAAATTTCCTGGAAACCGAACCGAGCCGAGCCAAACGGAGATAATGGTTTTTTGGGGGGTATCGTTCTTTTTTAGGTGTTGTTTTTTACATAGATCGGAGTTCGGTGTTCGGCTCGGTGTTTAGAAGGTGGAACCTGAACATACCGTATAATCCTAATCCAAACTAGGCTGCAATCTTCCTTGTTCTCTTTCTAATTCAAGCCCACACCACTATTAAGGCCCATCTACTACAATTTTTCACAGCCCACATATAGGAAGTCCACGGCTGCTAGCCCATCTAGCCGCAGTCGCTGAAGCCATTGCGCCCAGGCCATCGCGATCCAACTCTAGCACGCTCCCCTCTGCACAGAAAGAGCTAATTGGCGACCAGTAGCGCGCACCCTCCCCGCGTGACTGGACACGTGTCGCCCGCGTGACTAGACATGTGTCGCGCGCGGAGGGCGCTGTCGGCGCCCGTGCGAGTGATTTTTGTTTTGGTTTTTCTGTTTTAGTTTTTTTTCGTTTCTCTTCCTTTCTGTTTTGGTTTTTCCGGTTTTTTTCTCTTCCTTTTTTCGGTTTTTTAAGATGTACGTATACCAAGTTTTGTATTTGTACGTATACCAAATTTTGTATTTGTACGCATACAAAGTTTGTATTCGTGTTTTTTTTCTCTCGGTTTTTAATATATACATATACAAAGTTTGTATATGCATATGTAAAGTTTATATACACATATGCAAAGTTTGTATATATGTATATTTTTTATACGTTAATATTTTGGTACACATAAAAATTATATATACTTTGTATACACATGTAAAAAATTTATATTTTATCAATATAAAGTTTATATAAAGTATATACATATGTATATATACACGTATAGTATTGTTATAGTAGTAGTACTACTACTGTAGTAGACTAGTAGCAGCAGCGCACGCCAGTAGTAGTAGCAGGAGCAGAGCAGCACTAGCGGTAGGAGCAGCGGTAGGAGCAGTAGGAGGAGGAGTAGTAGTACTACTAGAAGAGCAGTATAGCACCAGCGGTAGTAGGAGCGAACTCAGGGGCGGAGCTAGAGAAAAGACGAGGGGTTTCTACTTTTCTTTACGTAATAATGACAACTACAGTTATAGAGCGATATTATACTAAATAGTTGCATACCAATAAATATAAGCATTATTTCTTCATTTGAAGATAATATACCACAAGAAATACATAAAAAAGAGTTAAAAAATACGTACCCTAATAAAGAAATCAACTAATAATATTTGTAAAGTTGATAATGGTTCAACCATTGACAAAGACCTCCATTAACAAAATCTTATGAATATATCATGCGAATGTCAACGTCTTCATTCCTCCATAGGACAATGACTTTGAAAATATAGTTTAATTCTCAACAGAAAATAAGTTATGAAATGATTTGGTACAAAATAAAACAAATTTCTTCATATTGTTCGTACTATCCGGTGCTATATAGCAATCTATTAAGACCAAATAAAAATTTTCAAGTTTATTTTGGCACAAAACTACAAACTAAGGATAAGAAAAATTGAGAGAAAGAGTTCACTTATTCAGTTGCTCTCAGGGCAAGTACTATAATGCTCCATATGCTGCCCCTAAATGTGCCACATTGGATTGAGTGATGAGGTGGAGGAGAGAAGTGAGGAGAGAGATGGTGAACCACCCCTAAATGAAAAGGCAACCTCAACACAAATTTCAAGAGGGGTGTGAGAGTATAAGAGACATTGGTATTTGTGTACTAGAGGAGACATAGTGTATAGGTTGCCTCTTAATTTATGAGTGAATGATGTGGATAAATTTAATTGTAGTAGTCATATCTACCATAACACTTGCCCTCAGCTAGTGCTGCTGGCTGCAATTTTTGTGGGGCTCAGAGTAGATCGGTAAGCTAGGGCGAGCCGGCAGCCGGCAAGCTCCAGCTATTGGCCGTTGCTAGCTTGCAGCTTGCCGTCGTCCTCCTCCAGTCCTCCTCCTCCTGCCCCTGTCATCTACCTCTATATGCCTCTATAGTTGCAAGCCCTAGCCTGATCAGTGCAAAAAATTGGAAAAAAGAGGCAACCTACCAGGGAGAGGCTTTACACATGAGAAATTTCCCCGATTGGGGCTGCCGGGCTAGGTCCCCGGCGAGGCAAGGGCGACCTCCAGGGAGAGGCGACAGGTCAGACGAGAGCGAGGAGAGAGATTGAGCGTTGAGGCGACTCAGGCGAGAAAATCGAAACTACCGCTTTGATATCACGTGAGGCTTCGATGGGAAGCGTCGCCGCATCGGCCACTCCTGTGCGCTAGGCGTTTTAGTGTCTCCCACTGCGTAATTTTTGGTTTTGGGGCTTTCTTCCGGTTGGGTCTTTCAAGGAGAGGGGTTCCCTGTGTTGGGCTAGGGTGGTGCCTCCATGCTGTAGATATGAGGGTAACAAGGTATTTTAAATATTGGGCCGGGTTCCTGGGCACCCCCTGGTTCATTGGGCTCTGCCCCTGAGCGAACTGGTCGCGCGCCCACGCTCCTGCGCGACCAGTCGCTCATTAGGAGCGCCCTGCACCCATCAGCCCTTCGCTCGGTTTTACCGAGAACTGAGCCGAAGTGGTTTGGCTTGTTTTGGTCGGTTTGTTTGTTAGGTAGGTACAATAACACACTATAAGCCAGCTATAAACACATATCGAGTAGATGAAATAAAACAGATAAGCAGCGGGATACAAATTTGTAGCCAGCTGCAGCACGGGCTATAAGACATAATGTGTGAATGATAGGTGGGACCGGATATTAATAGTGTAGTACATATTTATAGGTAACTATTGTATGAATTAGCTACTAAATTGGCTATAAACGATTTGGAACTAGTAATTGACTATACTACTAAACTTGCTCTTATATTTGAAAATTTCGGTTCGCAACTACCAAAAAGGAGACCATGACTACGAGGAGAGTGCGCGCTCGATTGTCATAACAAGTGACCTCACTCTCCAAAGTCTAGATTGACTCATGTTTTTACCCCTAGAACGGATTTACTTCTAATATCGTGACAACTTAATTCCATTTGTGCTAAATTACTTTTATGACTTATGTAAATTACTTTTATGTTTTATTGAATTTTCTTTCATAAATGTCTAAAAAGTAATTTTAAAATGCATACATATTTTTTATTAGAATATAATCATTTGAGATCTTGTTATAAAGATTTTGTTGCAATGAATACAACAGTCCAACCAGATAGGAAATCGGATAAGTATTTTAACAGAAAATTCTATAAGAAGTAAAAAAGACATGTATGACCTGATAGCAAATTATAGATGTATAGTACTAGTTCTCTCACATATGATCGGTGTTACTCGATAGGAAAAAAAAACGAGAGCGCTATCGATTTAGATTTTACGTATCGAAAACCGACCTTTTTCAAACAAAAAACACCGAACTAAGAAAACTATAAAAACCGAACGCCCACTGGTACTACTTTGCCATAGATTCTTTTTATTCCTAATTGGACATATGACTATTTTTGTTCAAACTATATTTCTCTCATGCTGCATAAGAACATTGGTGAACATACACTCCTTTTCTCCTTTTTCTTTTTATTTTCTTCTCATAATGTTTGAGAATATTTTATATTTCTTTTTTTATATCACAGCCATCTCTTTTACTAAATATTAGGAGAGACATTTTGACTGACGTGAATGGTGTATTTAGTTGTGGATATAATGTAGAGACAAAACATTAACCGTAAGTACGAACACACGTACCAACATCAAACTTTTATTTGAACAATAAAACACAAACTTTCTTCCTAAGATGACGAAACATTCAATGGTGTGTGGACGGCTGCACGCAGCACGCGGATGATACAGACCATGCAGAGAATGATCCTACCAAGAAAAATGAGAGACGAGAAAAACGTCGCGGAAAAAGATTAAAAAAAAAGAGAAGAATACTTTAATATTATTCGTGGCTCTCCTCGGCATTGCGAGCGCCCATGGATTGGACACGCGTCTCTCTCGCCTCCTTCCCACTCCCACCACCACCACTGCCTCTTCCTCTTCTCCGGGAGTCCCAAACTGCAGCAGCGCGCGGCACAGGAGAGCGAGGAGGAGGAGGAGATGGCGGAGGCGAAGCAGCAGCAGCAGCAGCCGCAGGCGGCGACGGCGGCGGCGGCGAGCGGGGTGTGGAAGACGGTGAAGCCCTTCGCCAACGGCGGCGCCTCCGGGATGCTCGCCACCTGCGTCATCCAGCCCATCGACATGGTCAAGGTACGAACGCCGCCCCACGGGCTGGGGCTCCCTGCCTCCGCTGGAGGTTTGGTGTGAGGGTTCGCGCGCGGGGCTAGTTGGTGCGCTAGGCTTGTGCGGAATGGCTTCTAAGGGAAACATGAGCGGTGTGCGGATGAGCTGTTTGATGCATTGCCGACGTCTCCATCTGTTGAACATTTTTGTTTCATTGCTTGGTTAGAGACAGGATTCTTAACGATTTTCGTACTGGAATCGGGAGTGTGATATTGAGTTACTGATTGTCTCTGAGGTATTTTCTATTTGTTCCTGATGTACCCGCGACGAATGGCTGTCGATTTGAGGAATTTTATCGTTTGGGTTCAGTTTTTGCATTCGTTAGTATAGAAGGTTTTCCCTCTTCAAGATTTTAGTGCTGGCCCCGAATGCTAGTTCGACTGTTTAGCTCAACATCGAGAAGATGATGTCTTGTAATATTTTTCATGGCTGAGGAGTTAGCACAGTTGGAAAGGAGGTCCCTTGTAGTTGTACATCTCGTGGGAGATTCCTTACTCCCTCGAGGCCTCGATTCGGATAAGAATGTCATTTTGGAGTTTTTAAATTCAGTAAGACATAGCTTTGGCTGCTTAATTCTTTTTCATAAATCTAAAATAGTTACGCTAGTGTAATATTATAATGTTTCCTCATAACAAACTTGACCATGTCATTTTTTCAAACTTATGTTATAAACAAATTTTATGGTCAAAGTCAATTTATGTGGACTACACGGCCTCTAAAACAGCATTATTCCGTGGCCGGAGGGGGTACTATTATTACTGCCAAGACCTTCTAACCTTCATCGGTTGCTTTCGTTGAGACCTTCTTGCTCTGAATTAGCAGTTGAATCTGGGTTTGCAGCTGAGCTCACGTTTGTGGGACAATGTTTTTCTGTTTTATGATCCAAGCAGTTACTGATTTGTTGATGCTTGTGCAGGTGAGGATCCAGTTGGGTGAGGGCTCGGCGGCTTCTGTCACCAAGAAAATGCTTGCAAATGAGGGAATTAGTGCCTTCTACAAGGTTCGTTGTCTTGAGGCCGTGGTTTAAAAATTCCAGTATTTGCGTTGTGCACTAACCCAGTACTGTAGCATGTTACACACGTACGGAACCTGCAGTTACATCATCTGGATGGAACCCCGTAGTCTTGTACCACTTGACTATTACATGGTCTCCATAATTGTCCTTTGACTGCTAATATCTATTGTAACATAGTTCTAAATTATTCTAAATCATCAGCTTTCTTGTCACTCAAACTGTTATTGCTTAAATTCTTTGTGTCCAGGGCTTGTCTGCTGGTTTGCTCAGGCAAGCAACATACACAACCGCTCGTCTCGGATCCTTTAGGTTTGTACGTACTACTTAGCCCATAATATCTTTTGCTAGTAAGTTAAAGTGACTGTCAAATAATTAACAGCTTTGACTTGACATCCTGTTCTTTTCAGCTGAATAATAAATCAGCAGTATGCAATATTATCTTGTATTGAAATGAAAACCTGTGGTTTTGGTTGATAAAATACAACAGCAAAGTGCAATACTATCTTGGATCTTATAACTGTCCTGTAGATGCATATATTTGTTTTTGAAGCAATGACACTTCATACCTAGCAAACTCAGCCTAAGTGCATTACCGCCCGATACCCCTACTAGCAGGTATTCAGCTAAAGAGTATCAAACAAACCAAGTGTAGTGCACCTCTGAAGGACTCCTCTTGTAGTAACCATTTAATCTATCGATGGTTTTGTTTCAGGATTATGTCATGTTGAACAGTTTGTCAAGCAGGGTCACTAATGTAGATAAAGTTACATTGCCTTAATTCCGTAAGTTGCAGCAAAATATAACTGTTGGATTCTTGAGAGAATCAATAATAGAACCTTCTGTCCTGTTGTCGGGAGGTGTTTAACCTCCTACCCAGCTGGATTCAATGTCCTAGTACAAGTGTCGGTGCCCATCAACTCTTGTTGTGAATAATAGAAGTAACCTTTGGCAAATTTTCAAGAAAGAATGCTGCAATAGTCAAGTTTTCTGACATTGCTCTATGCCAAGCAGGAAAGGTTAACTGTTAGGCTTTACCATAACCATGAATATCAATCTGGAAAGTCACTTATGCAATGTTTTCAGCTGTTTTGATCTGATCTTCCCTTCCTATACTTTGGTTGTGTTATTTGGTTGAGTTTCTTCACACTGTATTCCCTCAGGGTTCTAACAAACAAAGCGGTTGAAGCAAATGATGGGAAGCCACTGCCTCTAGTCCAGAAAGCTGGTATTGGTCTCACCGCAGGAGCAATTGGAGCCTGTGTTGGTAGTCCTGCGGATTTGGCACTCATTAGGATGCAGGCTGATTCAACGTTGCCAGCAGCCCAAAGTCGCAATTATAAGAATGCTTTTCATGCACTTTATCGTATTGCTGCTGATGAAGGTGTTCTAGCACTTTGGAAGGGCGCAGGTCCAACTGTAGTGAGAGCTATGTCGCTAAATATGGGCATGCTTGCCTCCTATGATCAGAGTGTGGAGTTATTTAGAGACACACTTGGTGCTGGAGAAGTCACTACTGTACTTGGTAAGATAATACTCATTTGAATTTCGGTTTCATGCAATCTTTCTGATTTACCTGTTCTCTATCAAACATTTCTCAAGCGTTTGAGGATGTGGATCCAGAGTGACTTAATGCTTGCAACTTTCTATAGGTCGACTTCCAGACATATATATCAACTTGTGGGCACAAAAGAACAAAGTTGATCAATTAAAAATTTCAGATGTCTTCATATAGTTCCACTAATATTTTTATATTTTGTTCATGATCTCTACCTTTGTTATGCTCTTTGGACTTAAACTCTACTTACCTGTTGAAAATAAGCACATGATAGTAGGCCTGCTAAAAGTCTCCTATCATGTGCTTAGTGTGTGCAACAAATGTGTTGAGTAGTGCCAACCTAAATATTATTTGCATGTCAAAATTGATTTTATATTTTGATTGCAGGGGCCAGTGCTGTTTCAGGGTTATGTGCGTCTGCTTGCAGTTTACCCTTTGATTATGTGAAGACACAGATTCAAAAGATGCAGCCTGATGCCTCCGGGAAGTATCCATACACTGGGTCTCTTGATTGTGCCATGAAGACCTTGAAGAGTGGAGGCCCATTTAAGTTCTACACTGGCTTTCCTGTGTACTGTGTCAGGATTGCACCACATGCCATGGTAATGCAATTATCACACATTTCTTCCTTGCTTAGCAGAAAACATCACATCTGCATGTTCTACCATTCTTAACTAATGACATCTTTTGTGCAGATGACTTGGATATTCCTAAATGAGATCCAGAAGCTCGAGAAGCGTTTAGGCCTCTAAGAGCTGGTTGGTTCGGTCATGCTGTCCTTACCTAAGACATAACAACAGTCCAGGTGTACATAGTCGAGCAATTGCTTCTGATAAACAAAATCTTTAGCCTATATGCTTCCTTGGTGCTTTGAGCCATTGACACCAAATGATCACCTCATTTATTGTTCTTTGGATCATTTCTTGGTAAATTTTGGGCTTACATACTGTTATCAGTTTAACACGACTACCAAGTACCATGAGAACAATACGTTGTTGAATGTTGATTACTGGTTTGCCATTTGTTTGACACTGTTATTACGTTGCTTTATCTAATCTTTTCTTTAGTTTTGTTGAGAGAGAGAGAGAGAGAGAGAGAGAGAGAGAGAGAGTTGCTTGATTTTGTTTTTTGTTCTGTCGTGCACTGAAAGGAAGCATGAATATAGCAGTAAATCCTTACAAAATATAATCATTTGTGATTTGATATGATCGGTCGTTCTTTGTCTCCACATATGTAGGTTTATTCTCCAATTCACCATGGACCTTATATGCCCATGAAAGCTTAACGCAACCCATCTATTGTGTTAGGTATTACATTTAGGTGCTATCTGAGAATTCCATTCGGTTCAGCCACCCACATCCATAAATTTTGTGCTATTTCCATTTCCAAGCGCCCCCTAAATCATCATATCATTTTACTTTTAGGTACGTGAATTACCTAAAACTTAACAAATCACATGGATGAGGGTTGCGGCAAGGAGACCCGCTCTCGCCACTCCTCTTCATCCTTGCGATCGTCCCGTTGCAACGGCTGCTTGACAACGCCACGGATTTGAAGCTGCTTAGTAAGCTGGGAGGTCGATCTGCACGCCTTCGAATCTTGCTTTATGCAGACGGTGCAACAGTTTTCATCAAACCTGTCAAAAGTGAAGTGCAAGCTTTCTTCAACCTGCTATGCAAACTCGGCCAAGCAACTGGTCTCTCCACCAACATTCAGAAATCCCAGGTAAAAGTAATCAGATGTGAGAGCATAGATCTGAATAACGTGCTACAGAAAACACTAGTCTTGAGAGCATCCCTGCCAATGACATACCTAGGGCTACCTCTTGCTGTCGGTCGTTGCGTAAGTTGTACTTACAACCTCTTTTCGAAAAAACCTTGGGTAGAATGGCAACTTGGCGCGGGAGAAACATGAGGCTAACCGGACGCACTACGTTGGTCAAGTCAATGCTCTCCTCGCAGCCCGTTTACCTTTTGACATCAATAGAGGTCACTAAGGAATCTCTAGAAGTGCTTGACAAGCAGAGAAAGAGCTTCCTCTGGGTGGGTATGGGCAACATAACGGGTGGAAAATGCAAATCAAATGGAAAAGAACATGCTCGCCAACAACCTATGGTGGCCTTTCATTACCATTGGGGATGGGTCCACAACCCGATTCTGGGATTTAGTCGGGATGAATGGGCTATGACCAAAAGATGCCATGCCGCAAGCATATGCAATATCCAAACGAATAAACAGAACCTTGTGGGATGTGATCGCGGATAATACTTGGTGCATGGCCTAAACCTCACAACCAGACAACCTATGGAGCTCTATTAGTCGAGCTACACTGGTTTAGTTACTCATAGATATGATTGTACCATGTATTATGTTTATAAATTAATAATAAAGTGTTCCTTGAAATAGATAATTCATTGTTGACCAATGAGTGTGTGACTTATTCCTGAGAATCTTTATGTGATATTACTTGTTATTTTCATAAGATCAACGAGTGTCTATCATATATGGAAAAATATGATTCCAACATCAGCATAGGTATTAATTGATAATCTTGTCTCATGTGTATAATATAGAGATGCCAAATCGTCCACAAGTTGTAGACCATATTATTGGATACACAGAACATAAGACATTCTAAGGATTATAAATTGTCATCGGTTGATCTCAAGTAGTTTTGGTGTAGAATCCTTGTAGCTCAAAGTAAGTCACTTTGGGGCTACCAAATGCACTCCGTAATTGGTAGTTAGGGTTTTTCATGAAGTATGTAGTGGGATGTGAATAAATGAGATGGGATTTCCCTTTTAGTTAATGGGAGATACATCTTCTAAGCCCCTCGATTTTATAGACTTCGAAAATGCATGGTCATTGTCACGTCCTGATAAATTCATTCCAAATTAAAAATCATTTTTTAAAAGTAATAATATAATTTATTAAAATCCTAAAAGAAATTGGCAACATTAAAATGCGTACAAGAAAAATGCGAATGTGGTCCAGAGTATTTTTCTTAAATTCTCCATGATCTAAAAAGAGCCCTCAAATTTTACTTGAATAATTTCTACCGTCAATATTACCCAATTAATGAAGACTGGAGCTCCGCGTTTTCCGGAAGGGTGGTGAGGTGATTGTGAGGCGATCTTGGTGATCGGGCTCCTCTCCGGTGATGGTGAGCCCAGGGCCGCCGGGAGGGTGGGACTTCTCCCTGGATGATCACATTGGGGATGAGGTCCTCTCCAGGTTACATTCTCCGGTGCATTTTTCCCGGTTTTTCTCTCGTCGTCCGTTCATCCTAGTGGTGGATTTCCCTCGTTCTTCATTCCGTTTATGTTCTTCATCTGCTGCTCTTGCTTTGCGTGCTTGCATTGGTGGTTCTCCGGGTGATCTTCATGTTATAGTTTCTTATTGTGTTCAAAGAAAGTTGGGCTTTGGGTTTACACCCTCCAATCTTTCTCCTGCAAAGATTATGAAGCTCAGTTTTTCCTTTGGAGAGACAGTGATCCAAATTGGCGCAAAGAGTATGAGATTTGGTCAACTGATTTGGAGGCAGAGTGGACCGTAGTCCAATGAAAGAAAAAAAAGATGTCACAGGTTTTTAACCACAAATCAGGAATCTGTGTACTCAGCAGCATTCTAGTAGCAAATTTTTTTTTTCAAATCAAATCAAAGTAAAGTTTCGTGAGCTCTGAGCGATGTTTGAAAAGATAATCAAAGTAAAATCAAAGTAGAAAAATCATAAAAAAAATAAGATGAAATATTGCCACCCATTGTAGGTGTAGTAGGTGCTGGTCCCCGCATGACCGAAGGATTTTCTTAGAGCTCACTCTAGTGTTCGAATGGGCAATTCTCTTATTCCGGTTAAGTTTGTTTTTGATTGGCTTTCTTCTTCTTTTCCGGCGATCACCGTCGGTGGTAAGGGTCTCAATCATTCTGCTGTCGACGGCGTGATTCATGCAGGCGGGGTTAATGCAGGATCATCAAGTATTTCAATTTCAAAGTCTAATTTCAAGGGAGTGATTGATGCTGGTTCTTCGGATAAGTCTAAAGGTAAGGGCGTGGTTTTTGCTGACTCTGTTGATAATTCAAATTCAAAAGTGTTGAATCCGCCTTCCTCTAAAAAGAAAGCAAACCCCACTGGGCCTCCTTGTCCCAAGTGTTTAAAATTGGGCCACTTGGAGTCTGAATGTATTAGTAGAGTGCGTTGTGCCTCTTGCTACAAACTGGATCACCAGGCTTTGGTCTGTTGGAATAAAAAGAATAAGAGCCAATCTTGGGTCCACAAGGCCCAACCCAGTTCGCAGCCCAGTTTTTTGGAGATTGTCTCAGTGGCTCCGAAGTTATCTCATGTGGCCGTAAATAAAAATATTTTAATCAGCTCTTGTCCGATTACTTGCCTCGATTCTAGGCAGTTTCCGTCCACCGCTTCTTCTTCCTTGCTTCTTGCTCCCAGTCCAATCTACAGTGCCTAAGATTCTCCAATGGCGAATGTTAATCCAGACCCAACCCTGTTCGTGCCCCTGCAATAGCCATCAATGATGCTTGGATGCATCGCCTCCCTCGTGCGGATTTGATTATCACAGATGATCCCCCGAAGAGGCATGAAGATGCTTCTTGCCCCCTTCGCTGCTTGAACTCTATGCCCAGTTCATCCAGATGATAGTAGATTATGTTCAGAATACTCTTGGATTCCATGTTTTGGATACTAGTAGGCATGCTTCGGAGTTTGCTTATGTTCACTTAGCTTCTGTTGTTTTAAGAGATGCCCTAGTTCTTAGGGGGGCCTATTTGGTCAATTATCAGTTTGTACTAAGGTTCTCCTACCATGACAACACTTCTACTTGTCGTAATTCTCCTCCAATTAGTCAAAGTTGGGTGATGTTTCTGGATTTTCCTTTGGATCTTCAAACTGACCGCATTATAGACAAGGCAGTAGGCACATTTGGTCGATTGCTTAGATGGTCTAACGACCCGAGGTTCAGAGGCAGAGTTCTGGCTAAAGTCATCTTCTCCATGGTAGAAGAAGTCCCCTCCAAGATAGTGATTAAAAAGTACACTAGTTTTGGGGGAGTTGGGCGATCCTGGACTATTTCTATTTTTGTCCTGAATGGGGACTTTGCTAATGCTCAGCCGGCTGATGAAGACCTGCCCTAGTAAACCATATTCCAATTCTGGAGCCACAACAAGTTGATCAACAAGGAAATGCTAATTTGGAAAATGCTGATGAAGATATGGGGGAGAACAGCAATAATGAAGCCCATGAAGAGCAGTCTCATAACATAAGTGTTGTTTCTCAACAATACTTAGGGGATTGGCAAATAATTCTAGTTTTGCAAAGTCATGCACCTATTGTTTCAATTCCTGGTAGATCCATTGTCAATAAAGTGCAGGATGTATCTGGAACTATTTTATCCTTGCTAGTTTACCCCCAATTCTGGAAATTGCTCAGTATCTATAGGTTTGTTCTGGGTGGGCCAAGGCTGAATGCTGCTAGTGGATGTATTCTGGGCCAGACCAATGCTTTAGCCCACTATCAGCTGGCAGTTCATCAGATGGTCCAGTTTGCTCTGCTGGCCTCTTCTTTGATCTGGGCCAAGGATAATTGGACTGCTCAATAGGCTTTGACAGTTCAGCCCATTCAAGCTGTTTACCCTCATGCTGATCCTACCCCCTTGGAGCTCCCAGCTAATCCTTTTCAACAGGACATATCTCCAACCCTGCTTCCCAAGCCTAGCAGGGGTAAAAGAAATTTGGGAAAAGTGGTTCTTATTGACTCTGGTAGAAGAAGGAGTGCAAGAATCAACAAGTTGACATATGGCTTCATGTCCCCTGATCCCAATCAGGGTGTGGGTAAGCCTAAGGAGAAAAACAAAGGCCAAGAGTTCTAAGAAGCTTAAAGCTTTGGCTGAAGAGAGTGGTATTTTATTCTCCCTTAATCCATTGCCCCTGGAATTCACTGATCCTCCTAATTCTGGTGATGACACTGACGCTGCCCCCTTTGATTGTTCTATTCAGCTTCTACAGCAGATAGGGGTTGATCTTTGTGG